GAATAGAGTGCATCATAGGCGATTCAAAAATAATCAATAGAGGGTAGACATAAGTTTCCTTCTGTATAAGAAGCGTATCTGAAGTGCACCACATCGCTTCAATTAACGCTTGGAAAACAGACCTACTCTATCATTTCGAAAGTCTCTGACTCAAACTACATTTGAAATGTCAAACCTCTTTTTAGCTTCTTTTAATCCCTGCTCGTACGACATCCAATTGATGTGACCGCCAAAACCTATTGAAAAGAATATTAGATAGGTTACACTAGTACCGATGAATTTCTATATCCTAGCAGAAGCATTACTTGATTGAACACATGGAACGGTATACAAATTTAATCGAAATTTTAAGAGAATATGAATGCTATTGTTACGGAACCTTTAGACGAATCTTCTTTCAAATCTTTTGGTTTCCACCAAGGATCTTTGTCTTCTTTGTCTACTTGTTGCTCTTCTTTGCCGATTTCTGAAGTTAAACAGATAAAAAAAATACAAGAAGAAGATGCAGTATTTAAGTTTGTTCGGCTGAAATTAAACAATCAATTGGTAACATTTCAACCGAGCATCGAATTCCATACCTGCAAATCCCGTTTCCTTCATCTTTAGAGCCCTCTTCATCGCTGCTATCACTGCAAAAGATAAATAAACGCAAAGTTTGTTATCTAGTAATTATTGGACGAGGCTGAGTATGATATGACAAATTATGCAGACTGTGGAGGGTATTAGCCGCCGAGGCCGTAAAGCCTCCCGTCTTCATAACATTGAGTGTTCCTCGGGAGTTGTGAAAGGATGCTTATTTCAGCCAGGCATTGCAATGGTTTTAGGCAGTAGTTCGGCTATTTTGTCTCCTTCCACCATTTTTTCCAGAACAGCTGAGCGATGCACCTTCTGCCGATTCTTTTCTGTCGATATGTGTGGAATTGACGTCAATTTGGGTTGCTGGTTATGAAGAATAATCGGAGAATAAGTCGGTGGATTTGAGCCAATCACAGAAGGAGAAATATTTTAAATGAATGATAACTACAGTTTACACTTATAACCAGTCACCTTGTGACGTACCACTAAAGCCACGTTGAACAAGTTACACGATATCTTGCCTAGATAAGTACATTTATATATTTGGTCAAAAAGATGATAGCTCAAGTTTGCGCTTTAATTTCAAAAACATATTTGAGAGAAAAAGCTTCATCATGATATAAGTTACTGTCTTAGACTAAGGCAGGAAAGACAGAAACAAGTATAAAAAAATTGAAGGCCTTCATTGTACTAAGGGAAAAAAGTTCATTTGAAAAACATTTTTTCCATTCTAGGCAATGAGAAAATGAGAATCATTTAAGCTTTGTTAGCATACATTCTTGCGGTCCGCTGTAGTAATATTTAACGTGGGGATGCTTGGTTCCTTCGTTCCAAATCTCATCAATAACTTTTCCTTCAGGATCTATACAAGGAGAGATGACAAAAATACAACTATTCTTGGCAAATAATGACTGATTTTCCATTTCTTTAAGAAAAGTCATTTTGACCGGGCAAAAAGGCTATCCAGCAATGTTTCAATATCTTAAGTTGAGATGTTTAGTTGCAACTACCTTTGCATGATGTGAGTGAGTGAGAATCTTTCCAGTTTTAAGTCCCAGGGTTTGTATGGGACTGAATGTAAACGACGGTGTTCAGAAAGAGCCAGTAATACTAACAGAAAAAGTCGAATGCTTTACCTTATCTTCATGTTTTCTGTATTACGTGTTAGTCGCCTTTTAAATAATTCACTGAGCTATTCCATGCCAGCTAAGTTATAGTCGCTCTTATGTGCTTTATTTTTATTACTCTTAAAGAGAGGACATCGATCAGAACATTCAGTTGGGAAACGATTCTTAAAAGCACCGATATGAGTTAGCTTACTCTAAGTCGGAGGCTTTAATTTGCAAGCTTTAAGGTGTAACTAATAGTTCCGTAACTCGGACCCTAATCCAAACACTTCAATAATGCACCTTTATCTTCATCTGCAAATGGGAACGCAAGGGTGGCGCATTGGTGAGAGCACTCACCTCCCACCAATTTGGGTTCAATTCTCGGCGTCGACGCCATATGTGGGTTGATCAAGTTTATTGTTGGTTCTCTCCCTTGCTCGGAGAGGCTTTTCTTCGGGTCAGTCCGGTTTTCCCCTCTCCTCAAAATCCAGGATTTTCAAATTCCAGTTCGACTAGGAATTAGGTAGACGAAGAACCACTTGGTGGATATGCTATCTCTAAATCGTAGTTATTATTTATTTATTCAAATTACGCCCAGCGGTTTGAAGAAGGGAAACTGAATTTGGTTATGCATCCTAAGGAATAGGTACCCAAGAATATAGTTTCATTTGCTCCAAACCAATTAGATCCGTCCCTTTTCAGTAACTTATAATTAACTTACTTAGGAACAACACTCTTGGAATGTACTCTCCGTCCACTATAAACTGACTTCCCTTTGGTTCTTCTTCATCCTCTGTGTTAACCATCACAAAGTGTCTACTCATTTGCGCAAACTCCTTTGAGGCGGCAAGTTTGGGCTTTAATGCTGCAAGGCATTTTATAATGGCAAGAAGTTAACCCTTCAGTTCGTACCAATTAAACTTATCATTTCATTTTTTATAAAACTTTACCTTTGCACGAGCCGCACCATGTTTTGTGAATGAGAAGTAACATCAATTTATCACTGAAAGAAAAAGATCGCCAATGTGTCATGATCTTTTTATAGCAAGTCGCCACCTTAGCAACTGGGTTGTGTTAACGTTCGCAAAGACTTCTGGGGCTGTTATTAGGGAAAAGAAAAAAAAATTGGCCAATAGCTGATCGGCGCGTTCCATTAACGATCCCAGAAGCAATTGCGGGACACATGTTGGCTCCAGTGATCCATGGCCTGAGTTCCCTTCACGTTTCTTCACTGGCGAATTAGCACATCTCTGATGTCATCTGCCAAATAGTGGATTATTCTCTCTAACAGCTACTTATAAAATCCGCTCGAATAGGCCATTTGCACGACGGCATCATTTTACTCAGCTGCTACCACAATCCTTCAGTATATTAATTTCTTGTGCAAATTATTGCTTTTGTTATTTAAACCTCACTGGGATTAATTACCAAATTTAAAGTGAAATGAATTCTGGTCTTAGTAGTAAAAAGGCGTCATCGTATAAATGGCCTATTGCTGCTATTAAAAGTAAAGAGTAAAGAATAATCAGTCACCGAGTTTATGACTTTTATAATTTATGACCGAAGAAAGCGTCATTACAACAACAAATAAAACTGATTGCATGTACGAAAGTGTGGACGATAAGAGCATGTTTCTTTACCTCTTCTTTATTTGTTCAAGTCCATCTTCAAACGTAACCCACGCTATGCTGTCACCAAACCCTGTGTTACAAAGCGTTGATCAGTGGCTATTAGATGCTACTTCGATGTTTGTTCTGATTAATGTTTTTTTGATATAAATGTACCCATTTTCAAGATTTCACTCCACTCTACTGACTTGTTAAGGTTATTCAAACGATTCTTGGAGTAAAGATACGCAAGGCCAGTTATGGGAAGGGAAGCGCAGACATCGATCAGGAGATCGGCTTAAATACTAAGAAAAGTAATTAAGTAAGTAACTAAGTAGTTAAGTAAGTATATAAGTAAGGAAGAAAGTAAGTAGGTAAGCGAAAACAATTTTTTTTCGTCCGTTCCAATAAAACCCCCCGCGCCTCAACCCAAATCTTTCCTCCGCCTGAGAACACATGAAAAGCGAACGAATTTGTGACGACTCCCTGAAAACTGTAACATAAACGACAAGTTTTTAATATATATGATACAAATTGCATGTCCCTTTTTATTCTTTCATGAAGTAAGAGTGTCTGTCTCAACAACGTGGTTTGGAATCACAAGCCAGGCTACTAAAACTAGGATACTTCCAACAAATTGAGCTTTATGGTGATTTGTCATCATTATGATTATTTTCATAGTATATCGAATAGAAAGTGACTTTGAATATCTTTAGGTCATGCAAAACGCTCTAGCCATAGTCTCGTGGGGAGGAGCGTTACGTGACGACCCAAAAAAGCGGCTGCGAAGGAGACTCTATTTTAGCTAGAGAGCTAGAGATATTTAAGAATCGTACAGGGCGTCATCACTAGGCCCACTTTCGAGTTGCTCTGAGCTCCTTTATTGAATTAAAGAGTAGTCTGGTGCGTAAGCAAACGTACGAAAATGGGTTACTATTTTACTACTATTTTACTACGACGTTCTTTGAACAAAGAAGCTAAAGTTAACTCGGAAGTGGCCTATTCAAGGATTTGAGTTCGATTATGACAACCTAACTGAAGTCACTACTCTTTCTCTCGGTTTTCCGGGGGCCTCGATCAAGCTTCCGCGAGCCTGTTTGAACGCCTGGGAACTATGCACTTCCAGTTGAAGCGTCCATCAATAATCGTGTAACGCCAGGGCCCCACTTGTCTAGCGCTATCCACTGGATAGTGACTTATCCAGTGGATAGCGCAATCCGACAACATTTGAACAAATAGCGCCTAGATAACAGAGCTAGCAACACAGTAAAACTTACCTCTTGCAAGAAAGTTGTTCTCTATTATCTCTGGTTCGTCTTCAACCTCCTTAGAAAAGTCGCCTCCATCAATTTTCAGGAATGACTTCATACTATCAACAACTGAAGTGTGCACATGGCATTCAAAGTTTAAAGTTATGCAGACAAATTTCGACAGATGATTTGGTTTCCGTGTGCATTTTGATGAACCTGACTTGAACAATAAACTAGCTCTTACTGACTTTGTCCTAAATATCCCGAGAAGCCGGTCACGGGTTAGCAGGTCAGTTTTCCCAGGTAGGCTGTGTGGCAGGCGTTCGAAAGGGAAGAGTAGGGAGCGCCCCCCCCCCCCCTCTTGTCCCCCCCCCCCCCCCTCTTGCGCTTTTTGCGCTTTTTGCGCGCCTCCAATCCCCTTGCCTTTCAAACGCCTGCTAAGGAGGCTAGTTACGCAGTTAGGTGTGTTTAGTGCTAACATGAGTATCAGGATTTCATTAGAGAAATAAGGGAGAGAAGATTTGAAAAGACAACGTCGACGGGGGGAAGCTTAGGCTAGCTTAACTTTGCCGTAACCTTTGCTGTAAGCATTAAAAAAAATTGCGCGGGTTATTTCCTGCTGCATATAGCCTGCATATCAGTCGCCTTTTGTCAGTTTCGTTTTGATCAAGCGGGAGAAGCGCGGGAAACGCGGGAGCCCTCGAGCCGAAAAACAGGAGCGTCTACCGCGCTTTTCTCGCTTGGCTTGAAGCAAACCGTTTAAACGACTGCTACACAGCTGGCTATGCTGCATATGGATTTTTTCTTTTAAAATCCAAAATTCCAAAAACAACAACAGTAACCCACAAAAATGGTTATTTGCTATGAAAGATCTCCTGCTAATAAACTGAATTTATCCTCACTTACTTTCAGAAGTTTTTCCATAGTAGTATTTAGTGTCTTTATGCTTTCCGTTTTTGTTGTAGACATTTTTCATTACCTCGCCATCATGTGCTGAAAAATGAAATCAAACTTCATTGAAGAACGTCAGCTTTTTAATCTTTTCATGCAACCTTGTCCCCAGGGTTATCTCTCTTCCTCCAGTTAAAAAGACCAATTTTTTTTGCGTGTCAACTTACAAAGAAACAGAATCCTTGGGATGTATCTTCCGTCTGGGCGATATTTTTCGTCTTTGGGTTCTTCTTCATCCTAAAAACAAGTACGGTTCATAAATTGACTCGAGCACTACATAACTTTTTTCAGCCATAATGTTTGAGAGTATGTTTATTTTAATTTATAAGATTTTTTATTCCTGTAGTAGAGTATATCATGGAAGAAGATCGTAGCAAGTTCTTTTGAGCTTTTCAGGAAGATCCCCGTAAATAATTAACTTACAAAAAATGGCGCTTGATGGACATTCATACCTAAATCTATCAGATTAAGTGAAGGATATTTTTTGTCACCGATAGATAGTGTAAAATTAATTGTAAGGGCATGGCCTTTGATACAGTATTAGGTTTCCAAAACTGAAATTGAAATTCTATTGGCCACTTTTGCATAATTCTTACCCCTACCCCACCCACCCTACGCTACACCTCTCTCTTCCCCACACCCATCTCCCTCACCTTACCCTCTTGCCACTTGCCACGCATGCGTTACTGGTCGAAAAAATGGATTTGCACAAATTTGCTCTGAGAAGTATAACTAGGGTAAACATGATAATTGCCACATTTGCTTTTATATTTACAAACCCGTGTTTTTGGTATACACATGTGGCATTTACCATCTTTGTCCCATCAGTTTGCTCCTCAGTTTTTACATCTTTGAGACATATTTGCCAGCAGGAGCAAATTTGTGCAAATCCATTTTTTGTCGAGGCTGCCCTCGCCTTATCACCTCTCACTATCCAATTTTTGTAATTACTTCTAGTTGTAACTGTTCCTAAATTTAAAGGGTCCTTTTCTTAACTGTTATCAGAACAGATATCCGTTTCTTTTTCATCATAAACAAATCTTATTGTCTTACCTCCAAATTCACCATAACAAAGTTTTTACTGAAATCTGCAATTTCCTGCGACTCCGCAAATGCTGGTTTTAATGCTGCAAAGGTTATATTAATAGTGAGTGAGATAGTTTTGTTGAATGTTCCAACGTTCTCTCTTTCACTCTGTTTGCTGAAAGAGGTTACTGCAAATTCAGTTTAATATAGTGGAGAATATTATCAAGATTACCTTTGCATGCCCCACACCAAGTCTTGTGGATAAGCAGCATCAATGGCTTATTGCTATCAGAAGAAAAAAAAACCGTAAGATTGGTATTTTCAGATCTAAAATGGCCATATTTATGCGTCGTTAATTGCGTCCCGTTTTTATACTAGACGTCTTAAACATCTGAGACGACTAATTCATCTGTTAAGTGCGTTGATCGGACGCACTTAACTTCGGACGTTTTATTCGTCTGACGTTTAATGCGTCTGCCATATTTCCCGTATTTATACTAGACGTTAACCTGCGAACTGCAGACGTATTTCCGGTCATCGCTTCTCTCCCTCCGAAAATTAATTAATTTCGTAAATTAATTTTCGGAGGGAGAGAAGCGACAACCGGAAATACGTCTGCGGTTCCGGCGAAGGCTAACTAGACGTCTAAGTAAGACGTCTTAGACGTCCTCTAGTATAAATACGGCCAATGTTGATAAGGATCGTTTGATTTTGTTTTGTTTTTCTTTTACCTATGGCCTCCATAATCAAACTGGCAAGTCTTTCGATTGACAACGCGAACGGAACGTTTTTTACCGGCTTACTTGCGGGTATGGGTTATGGTTAGCCGAAACAGTAGAGGAGAAGAGAAACCAAGTAAACAAACAAAAATTAAACCTTGCGTCGGCCTTCATATTCAGTCATCTCCATCAAAGCAAACCTGTAGGTCATAATGACCTGCAATTGAACTGACGGCAACTGAATTTAAAACTGCCCTAGTGAGGTTAGCTACAACAATGTTTCAACTTTCGATATAATTTAATCTTTTAAAACTTCCCACTCCAACAGCTTTTCCGTTCTCGTTTGTTGTTTAAAAACTTTTTGAGCACCGGCGGTTTTTCAGCCGATAAAACAGTTGAAAACCAGAGGAGAAACGCTACAAATGTAGATCCATTATTACAAAATTTAATTATCATACGAAAAAAACGATAGCAAAAACCACTCACCCAAAACAAAGAAATGGTTTAATGAATGATAGTTGCAACCTGTTTTTTGGCAGTTCGGAGCGTTCCGGAAAAGAATAAATTTTCTCATGAAAAGCGTGATTATTGAGAAAATAAAAGTAAATGAAAATGCTTCATTGCGGCTCGAGGTTGTTTTTCCCTGGCTGGAATGCAGTTTAGTCACTTTTAGTATATCAACATGGACAGCAAATTTGTTTTACGGTTCGGTCACTTTCACCATGCATGCTTGCAAGCCGCTGTGTCAGACTGAGAAGTTAATAACAATTTAATAACACGTGATTTGGATTGAAGTTGTTCCACAGTTTGAAAATTAGGACAGAAAGTACCAATTGCTTATTTCTTTTAATGGCCTCCTGCTTTGGCCAGTTTCTACAGCCAGTAACGACTGACAATTCACTAAAGATCCTTTGATACAAGTAGCTTAAGAAAATGACCACTGAACACTGAAATGGCTCATGTTGAAACGATTTAATCTATAAACTTGCAAATTAGGCTTTACTGGGCAGCGAGTGGAACATGCAATTATTTTTTGCCGGATCATGTGAGCTGTAGGTCCATGTTTAAATCTTGAGTGAAAACGAGCACTCATTTTGGCTCTTAACTTCTTACGATTTCAAAAGCCCGGCTATCACAGAGCGTGTTGAAATATTTCATTGTTTAATTTTGAACCTTTATATTTAAATATCCATTTATAGTTAACTTTTACCTCTTTTTAGCTTCTTCTAAACCATCTTGGAGGGTTTTCCATTCGATCTTCTCCCCCCAGCCTATAAAATTCGACGCATTGTGAATGGAAAATTTTTAAACTGTCTTCAATGTTTAAATTTAAAATGATTTTCTCAACCAACATACAGACAAATACCTCTATCAAGTGGCTCCTCTGGTTCACAAAGAACAAACAAGGCTAAATTGGAAAGAACTAAAGCGATGTATTTCCTTGTATTCATGATCTCTTGAGCTCAAAACAACTCCTTTTCGTGGTGTGGTTTGTGCGAAGAAGAAATCCCTAATACCTTCAGTGGCAAAGACAATATTACTTTCTACCACCTGTTTGAATGCCTGGTTGTCTCATTGCAAAGTGGAACAAGGGACTGACGGCTCACAAAAAGGCGGCCGGTAGCACGTTCTCGTTCATCAATAATTTAACGAGTCTTTTTAATTAAGATATGAACACCGGAAATTGTTCGTTAAAATCCTGAAGTGTAAGTGCATGGAAAGACGTCTGGTTTCTTCTAGCTACAGTCTCAGACAAAAATAGTTGGGACACTTTAACCAAACGCTGTTTTTTCCCTTCTCGTTTTCCCCTCGTCCCTCTCAAAGTTGTTTATCGCGGTTTGGTCACCAAATCTTGTACACCAACATTGAGGGGNGCGAATGTGATTTTTCCGGGCTAAAGTTGAATTGCTAGGGAATTTGTCTAAATTCAATGTCGTTGGGAGAGGGAAAGAAAATGTACAAGATTATAGCTGGCAATGAAAGAAAAAAGGTGCCAAAAAGTGTAATAGGTTTCCTCAGCTTATAATTAAAAACTTCGGATAGTAGAGTGTTTGACCTCTCCGCGGCATTGTACAGTTTTTAGCCTAAAGATAGTTTATCACTTAAAATTGTATCAAAAATTAGTTTTAAAAACGTCCAAAAGCCGAAAAGAGACCTGTCACAGTCTGAGGCACACTGTACCGGACAACTTTTGCCCCGCCAAGAAAATCATTCCGGATAGGGCTACTCTGCACACACAAATATGGTTGTGGCGGTGCGATATATTCGGCTGTGACAGCCAACGAAGCTGCGCCTCGCCGTTCTCTAAAGCGGAGAGTCACATATCGGATAGGTGTTCATATTATACCGGATAGCCACGCGCGAAAAGCTATAGTGCCCAAGATACAAACATTAACCACAAGGGACTGCAAAGGACCGCAAA